ATGACTACACATTGCTGGAAGGCAAGCTGGGAATTGTAGTCTAGTTGTGTGCCCTGAGGAAACAGGAATGAGTTTGGTGAACAGCTCATCTGTCTTTGCATAATTATTTTAGGCTGTCAGGGCTCCTGCTTCTGCCTGAGCTGAGGTGCTGAGGTACAGAAAGGGCTATCTGGTGGGTTAGTGAAATCTCATATCTAGCTATAATTTACGGTTGGCTCTGGGCTAAAAACCTCCTGAAAAGAAACTCAAAATGCTTTCCTACTTGAAGGTTCAGATATATGCAGCATGTCCAGCTAATGGGGAGAGAGGGAGTACCTCAGATGACTAGAAAGGGACAATAAGATCCCTGAATGTGAAAACATTCTGGAGAATACGGAGTCAGGCACAATGAGTGTCTTAAGGTCAAAGGTAAATGTAAGTTCTGGGTCACAGAAGAACATTCCCACCTAACCACTCTAGCCACTTGTCGGCATCTAGGGAGGAAAACGCTGTGTGGGGGGCTAAAGAAGCTGAAACTCTTGGGAGTTCAAGTGAGTCTGCTGCAGGCACCTGGAATAGCACAGCACAGAGGAGAGAGGCCATTCCCTTGCTTCCTGGCAGAAGAACTTGGAGAGCAGGTATCCCAGGGAAGAGCAGTGGTGCTGAATAACCCACAGCCCAGGGACAGAACTGAGGCCCTGAGAGGGGAACAGAAGAGCAAAGCAACTGCCCAGGGTCAAGAGCAATAATGAAGAGGACTCACAACGTTGCTTTGAAGTGACTGTGGCTGTGGAAGCATCTGGTGCCCAGCCGGAGCCCCTCAAGAGGCAGTCCTTGGCAAAGAGGAGGTCTGGGTGAAGTGACCTGGGGCAACCCAGGGCAGCTGCAGCGAGCTTAGAAAGCAGGATCCAGATAGTGTCACCATAGAGGCACAGGTGGTGGCCTGGGTGGATCCTGGAACATTGAGACACCTCCTTGGGTCTCTCAGAAAAACTAGAGGGACAAAACCCCCTGGGAAGAAATGGACCGCAGTCCCGCAGCTAAGCAGATGAGACCTAATGTGCTTAAAATACTGAACTGATGATTTCAGGGGGATATTCAAGCTGTATTAGTAAAGAGAATGTTACTGTTCAAAATGAATTTCAAGTTTTAAAAATTTTAGAAATCAGGAAAAACTGCTAAAAAACTTTGAAGTTTTTAAAAATCAACCTAACATACACAAAGTTTCTAATATAGGAAGCATATTTATTTTAAAATATTTCCAGTTAGACTTCCTTGTTTCTAAATAAATCACCTGCACTCACTATAAGTTCAAAGATGAATTCCCCCCACCACCTCCCAGGAAACAATTCTGCTTCCATTTGGAATCCCAAGGTGCCAACTGCTCCCACTTCAGGTGCTCAGCCTGCATAAATAATGGGTTCCCAGTGGCTCTGTAAGAGGCATGTGGTCTTGGGAAGATGAGGAGCCAGAAATGGCCATTTGGAGACTAAATTTTCAGCATGTGCCCCCATTAGGGATGTACTCTGGAACTAAAACAGTCCACATCAGTGTGCTTCTTCCAGTCCCAAATCGAATGGACCTGCCACTTTCAGGCTACCCAAGTTATTAATGCACAGTGACAGCTGAATTTAACTGTTTTTCACTGCAGCTCAGTGCCAAGGCCTGAGTAGAAATAATCCTTTTATCTCCCAATAAAGGAGAATTACCGGCATTTTGTAGCTCAGCTCTCTCTGAAGGGCCATCTTGAGAAGCTAGAGGCTTTGCATTTCCTGGAATGGTCAGATTAAAGATGCTTTTCTCTGATCTCTGGGCAGCTAGTTGATTATATTGTCACCCAGTTGCCCTGTGGAAAGCACTGCAGGTTTCCATTTTAAAGGGATTTCAGAGCACAAATGTCATTCTCGAAAACTTTTCTGAAAGACCAACTTAGTCTTCAGAGCCATACTGTTTAGGAGCCAGCTGTTGCCTAGGAACAGCCAGTAGGGATGCTTTGAAAGAATATAATTTGGTCTGCTGTCTTCTTTACTTGCCCCCCATGGGTATAATCTCACCTGGATCATTTTCTGCTGTACATAATTCTTACACAGATAACAACCTTATATAATAGACAATCAAATGTAGTAATACCTTCTATTCACTTCCATAAAGATGGCTCACCTTACACCTGAAATACTGATAAAACTGCATTCATCTCAACTGATAAGACATCTGACATCCCATCATGGGGCTTGGTTCCTTGAATATATTATTTTATGTTAATCTTCAAAGGAACTCTGAATTAGGTGTTCTACACCTCAAGTTTTAAATGGGAGAACTGAAGCCAGGAACTTTAGACAATTTGCCTAAGGTTACACAGTTTTAGTAATTGGTAGAGATGGAGGATCCATTCCAGTCTGATCTTAAAGCCCGTGTCCTTCCCAAGATCCCATCCTGGAAATCAAGGTTTCTCACCCTTGACACCTTTGGCATTTTGGACTGGATAATTCTTTGTTGTGGGGGCTGCCCTGTGCATTGAAGGATGTTTAGCAACATTCCTGGTCTCTGCCCACTAGATGCCAGTAGCACACATTCACACACAATCGTGGTGATTAAAAATGTGTCCAGACATTGCCAAAAGTTCCCTGTAAAGCAAGATCACCCCAGCGGAGAATCACTGCTCTAAATGTTCTGAAGCATTTGCTTTCTTACAAGGCTGAGGTTTCGTGGTCCCATGAAATGCACAGAAGAATCTGAAGACCCTGATGGTATTTAGGAGTGGCCTTACAGGGTATGCTTTAAGAAATATGAATTAATTATAATTAGCATTTTTTCTTTGTACCTAAAGAGCCCCTATTCCTGTTACTCTTGAAAATCATTTGTCCTCTGCAATGAGTAAATGTTCACACTGCAAAACCACTCAGAAACTTCAGTGGCCTGCGGCTGCCTCAGGAGTTCAGCCCAAGCTCCTCAGAAAGACATTCAAGGCCTCCCCAGTTTGCCTTCAGTTCTCTTCTCCACTCTCAAACTCCACATATTTGTAGGTTACAGCCAAGCAATATGACTCACTGTGGTTAAAACGCATCCTACGTTTTCTTGTTCCATGTCTTGGCTGAGGATATTCACTCTCTGCCTCCCACCTCTCCTGATCCCACGCCACATCCCGCCTTTGTCTTGGAATCCTTCTTATGTCATTTGAGTTCACTTGATGCTCTCTGCAACTCCCACACAGCCTCCCCAGCACAGTGGTGGAAGGATGGGTCTCTCCTCTGTCCACAGTTGGTTTCTGTCTTAGTCCATTTTCTGCTGCTATAACAGAATACCACAGACTGGGAAATTTATTTAAAAAGAGATTGATTTGGCTTATGGTTCTAGAGGCTGGGAAATCCAAGAGCAGGGCACTTGCAACTGGCAAAGGTCATCCCATGGCAGAAGACAGAGGGTGAAAGTGAGCACCCAAGACAGAGAGAAAGTTAAGCCAAACTTATCCATCCCATCAGAAGCCCTCTTCCACAATAATAGCAGTAATTCATTCATGAGGGCCAAGCCCTAGTGGCCTAATCACCTCTCAAAGGCTCCACCTCCCAATACTGTTACAATGACAATTAAATTTACACATGAGTTTTGGCAGAGTCATTCAAACCATAGCAGCATCTCGCTCATCTCAACCAGGTTTATGGAGAGTGTGTGATCTTTCATGCTGGATTGAAAATTCTTAGAGAACAAGTACTATATTTCAGGCCTTCTAGTCAGTCCTTATCTCTTAGCAGACGTGCTATACTTGGGGGGTTGGGCTAGATCAGATTGGAGGTGGGATTGAATGAATATTGCAAAGGTAAACATCTGACTGGTTTCCATGGGCATTAAAATAAATTTCGAACGTGAGAGCTGGGCAGTGCAGTGAAGACAATGGAGCACATCAGTTTGTCTTTCTAGTGCACAACTGCCCTACTCCAGGTGACTTTTTGGATGCCCTGAGTGGACCTCTGACCAGGGCCACCACTAGGGTTGTGCCCACTGAGCCTCACTGGGTGGCTCCTGGCTGAGAGGTGTGTGTGTGGCTGGCATCCTCTTCATATTTCCCTCACTGAGTGTGTGCCCTAGGCAGGCCTGTGCTTATCAGAGAAAGGGCCCCTTTTCCGAAATTTCACAAAGGTGGCATATGGGCTGGTGGAAGCCCTGACACTAAAAACTCTTCCATGAGGAAAGGGACAGCACATCTGACATTTTTATTCCCAAATTTATAGGTAATCAGTCCTTTAACTAAGGCTTATTGCACTGGATCCTGCCTAGCCTATCCTATCACTTTGTTTTGCCGCTGCTTGACTAGTGAGAGGTGGTTATTGATTCATTCAACATATTTGTGTTAGTCACTGAATATGTGTATAGGCTACAGGAGTGCAAAAAACAAAGCCCCTGTCCTCATCAAGCTTGTATTCTAGTAGATCCTTATATTCACCCCTCAGTGTTCACCATCAGACAACAGCCACATACAAAACAAAATGTATATCCAAGCTCCTGTTTTGGAGAGTTCTGATACCCCTGTTTTGAGCTTTTCTTGAGTGTTTTTTGTTTTGTTTTGGTTTTGGTTTTGTTTTTTGTTTTTTTCTTTTTTTACAAATGTATTTGTCTGGGGCAATCATTTTAGAAAATAACTTTGCCTAGGTTGCTGAAGTGGTTGCATGGGTGTCTCAGCATAGCCAGGGCTCAGAGAGTAGTGCTCCTCAGGGAAGACCTCAATTCCTGCATGGTCACATGGTCGAATTTCAGCTACAGCTGTTCAGACCATCTGACCAAGTCTGTTGAGAGAGTCTGAGCATTCCATACCATTTGCATGTAATATTAAGGTATAAACTGAGCATTCTCCAGAAACCAGCCCAGAACCATCTTTAATCTAAAAATTTCCAAGGAGGGCCATCTGGGCATAAATGCACAGGATATAAGTGAAAACTGGAGTCTAACCTTTAATGTTCCTATTGGCAGAAACAGAAACTGTCACATCTTGAACACTTCATCTTACTATCCCCCTCTTGTATCTACAGATGGAAAACTGTGCAGCAGCTACAACCGAGGACTCATCTCGAAGGCAAAAATCAAGGCTATCAAGTATAGCATCGTCATCATTCTTGGTAAGCTATGTCCCTCCTTGAGCTGTAAAGTGGTATGAACATCCCAAAAGCAAGCTTGCTCCTGGGACCTGGTGGCAGAAAGGAATTTGCCAACGGGCACTTCTACATTGGTCTGATTGGAAAGGAATGTGTGAAACTCATCAGCCCATTCATGGTTCCTTCAAGGGCTCACATTTGGTTCTTAATCGCTCTCCTTATGAATACAGCTGCCTGCCAAGGCTATGGGTTGAATAATTTGGAGAAAATCTGATTAGGAACTAGCTGAAGCGGATGCTCACATCACCTGCTAACTCAGTCACTTCCTTGAAGACACTCTCTTCCCCAAGGCTGGAGTTCACAAGCAAAAAGAAGATAGAAGTGGCTTTCCACCTTTTCTGAATATTTAACGTTAGGTTCACTACAAATTTCTCCCTTATGGCACCTTACCTGCCCTTCCACCCTCCTGTCTTCTGCCCTTTCCTTTTCCTTTCTCTCTACTCTTAAGACTCATAAAGTCACCTTGCACTATTTCCTGTCTGAAATACTCTGCTCTCTGGTGGTGATCTGACTTACTTCCTAACCTCATTTGTTCCCCAACAATGCCACCTCCCTGAGGGCTCCTTGACAAGTCTTTTTAATATCCTTTTTCTAGTCTACTCTGTCTTACTTTTGTTCTCAGTTCTGCCTGGCACTATAGGACATAGACTGATTTTCTTATAGTCTGTCTCCCCTGTTGGAGTAGTGAATCTATGAGGGCAATGACTTTGGCTTTTGTGTTACTTATGTTATCACCAAGACCTAAAATAGGGTCCCCTACACACTGCTCAATTAACATTGGTTGAATGAATGAATGAATGAATGAAAATATGCAAGAAGGAAAGGGATTTGTACTATTTTCTTTTTTATTTAGCTTACATATCCCCTCTTTGCCCCTCTGGCAGCTCTTGGAAGCTCCGAGGAAGCATAGCTCTCCCATTAGCTACATGTCAAAGCACCAGAACAGTCTTCTCACCTTTCTAAAATGCAACTGCAAAATGCCAAACAGACCACACACAGCATGACTCAGCCAGCAGGACGTAGGCACAAAACAGCATTGCAGGCGGAACTGGGATAAAACATATACAACCCACCGGGGCTCAAAAACTTTGTCAGAGGCTTCTGAAGCAGATCAAAGACTCCTCTGTCTTCTCAGATAGTCAGAACGACAGATGCACGTTCCCTGGATGTTGAGTTGGAAAATGTTATGTTTACAAGTATAACCCAGAGCCAACATAGCCCTTTGTCATCAGCAGCCATACACCAAGGCCATGTGGGATCCCTTCAGTCAGCAAGCAGAGACACCTACTAGAGGGTCAGCAAATGTCGACAGCCCTATCAGACCAAAAGGGCACTTTCTATAGCAAACGCTTTGTAATGTCCCTTTCCCATCTTGAAATAAAATGCCTACTTATACTACCTACCATGATAATTAAAACGTTAATATATTGCCAAAAAATAATACAAAGGAGGAATAAGAAAATAATCTAAAATAAAACAATACTATTTTTTTAATTAATTAAAATTTATACCAATTTTAATGTGTAAAAGCATAAGCACAGCTACACTAGAAGAATAATGAAGTAGTCACACCTACACCTTGACATAATAACAGCTACAATGAAAACCAGTACAGGTGTATTTTCATGGAGACATAAAAAAATGTAAGCAGTATTGTTGTCAGTGACTTGATTTTCTGAGCTGGCAAAAAGAAAAAATCCTTGTAAAATTTTGAATTAAACAAAGTAATGTTTCCTCCATTTACAACAGAATTGCATTTCTACAAATTTCGGTATTTATTTAATCTGTGTTTATGTGTAAAACAAAGTCAAGTTTCTAGACTGGGATAACTATACAGAAGTTTCTCTTCTACATGAATGGGTATTCAAAGTAGATACAAATCTTCGCTGGCTGGGCTGCCTGTACCATGCCAGAGAACTGGTATCCCTGTGACAACCAGAATCCTCCAACCCCACATATACACACATGCAGACACACAAGCTCACAAGGCCATTTGCCCTGCTTAGTGCCCTAGATACTGTTCAGGGCCAGTGTTTGGGTTAATTAACCAGGATCCAGAACACTTAGTGGGCTTTGTGTTTGAATTGCTCCACTTTAATACATTGCCAAGGTCTGGGATCGAGAGGGGAACCATGAGTCAGTTTATCATTCTAAAATTCCCCAACAAGTTACAGAATCCGCATTAGAGTTATGGCGGAAAGCTTGTCCCTGCATGCAGACAGCCAAGGAAGCCAAACTTCTACTCTGAGAAAAAAATCTATGCATGAGAAAGTGGGAGAAGGAGAGTGGAGAAGTTATGGCAAGAAGATGAGAGATGTATGTATTTCCAGTCAACTCATGAGTGTTTAGCTCTGTGTCGTAGTCTGTGCTCTCCAGAGGATAATATGAGAGAGAGGTTTATTAGAAGGGATTGGCCCAGGTAATTACTGAGGCTGAGAATTCCCAAGCTGCACAGTTGGAAGCTGGAGACCCAGGAAAACCAACGGTGTAGGTGCCAGTCCAAGGCTGAGTCCAAAGGTCTGAAAATCAGGAGAGTGGATGGTGTACATTTCAGTTTGATTCCAAGTGTGAAGGCAGAAGACCAATTTCCTAGCTTGAAGACAGGCAAACAGAGTGAATCTTCTTTTACTCAACCTTTTTCTATGACTAAGGCCTTCAACAGATTGGACACGGCCCATGAACAGGGGAGGGCAATCTGCTTTTCTTACTCTACCAGTTCAAATGTTACACTCATCCAGAAACGTCTTCATACGTATCCAGAATAGTGTTTAACCAAACATCTGAGCACTCCGCAGCCCAGTTAAGTAGTCTCAAAACTAGCCATCACACTCTGAATCCCCACCTTTCATCCATTTCTTTTGAGAATTTGGAGCCAAAATTGGGGTCTCATACATGCCAATGGATTTAGAGAAGGGTATAGTGTGGGTGTTTTCTGGAGAGGCCAACTTAGAGGTGAAAGAGAAAATTGAGAACACTGTCATTAAACTGGTATGTGCTTAGAAAATATTGTGATCACCCCTTCTCCCTGACATAACCTAAAACCAGTAGTCACTATGTGGTCAAAATGCTTCCTGTTCTGTCTTTGACTAGAGAGTCTTCAAAGTATTTTGCTATTTTTTCCTGATCCCTGTGTTGGATGAGATGGTATGGCCATAGTCACTTGTCCTGGGGTTTCTATAAAGAATCCACAGCAGTAGAAATTTGACCCTTCTTTATGGACAGAGAAGCTCTACGACCTTTGCTCAGTTTTAGGAACATGTCTGTAAGATGTGTCCATATGTATGTGTGTATGTGTTTAAGTGAATGTGACATCAATGCTCTAAACAGCATCCAACCCCAATATTTCTGAGAAATTCCAGGTCCCAAAGAACCTCCCAGGTAAAAGTCCAGTCAGGACCAACCAAAAGAGACCCCTCAACTGTTACCTGCTGTGGTGCTAATGGCTCTCTCTTCTCCCCCAGCCTTCATCTGCTGTTGGAGTCCATACTTCCTCTTTGACATTTTGGACAATTTCAACCTCCTTCCAGACACCCAGGAGCGTTTCTATGCCTCTGTGATCATTCAGAACCTGCCAGCATTGAATAGTGCCATCAACCCCCTCATCTACTGTGTCTTCAGCAGCTCCATCTCTTTCCCCTGCGGGTAAGGGGAGCTCCTGCATGGGTCAGATACACTGATGGTCATTGCACTGGGATTCCAACACGTGGGTTTCTCACGTCTACACTCTCCAGCAGGTTACAGAATCCCCCTTTTATAGATGAGAGGCTTGAAAGTCAGAAAGATTCCACTAACGTGGCTGATTCAAACCCTGGCCCAGGCCACAGCTGATGTGCTTTTTCCTATACCACAACACCTCGTATAGAAAACACCTTAATCATGACACATCTAGAAGACCTGGCTTGCTTTTGTTCAAAGCATCTTCACATGAATTGCTTCAATACAGTTATATGGCAATAACAGGACATGGAGCCTTATTACCATTTTAGAGATAAACAAAGTGAGTCTTACATGGTTAATGACATCATTGAGGTTATATGAATAATTAGCAGAGCTGAAATTAAATCCCTCCCACAGTTATTGTGATTCTTCTGTTTTTCTGCTGTTTTTCAGTTGTTTTCCTGCATAAGCCACAGAGGGTAGGTGGAGAATTCCATAGGAGATACAAGAGGAGAACAATTTAAGTCTTGGGCTTAATGCCAGTCGGTGAAGTTTATATCTTGCCATTGCTTATTCGTAGCGATGTGTGACCTTGGGCAAGTTATTTAATGTCTATAAACCTCAGCTTCTTCATCTGTAAAACGGGGCTAATAGCAGTGTCTACCTATTGGCCTGTGATGTCTCTATCCTCTGGGCTCTGGTGCTGACCAGTGAGAAGGAGAGCTGTGAGTCATGGAGAAGGAAGGTCAGGGTATTACATGTAAAGTGCCTGGCACAGTTGTCTGATCTTTAATACAGTTTTTATAACTATTGTATCTTAACATGTCTACTTCCCTTTTCATTAGGTCAAATTATTTCCCTCCCTGCTTTATTTTGACTTTCTCCAGGGAGCGAAGATCACAGGATTCCAGAATGACGTTCCGAGAGAGAACCGAGAGGCATGAGATGCAGATTCTGTCCAAGCCAGAATTCATCTAGACCCTAGGACAGTGCCAGTGCTAGGCTGAGCACCATCAACTCTCCCAGGTCCCTGTCACCTGCTTGGGCATGTGCATAAAACTCGAGCCAACTTCATCCCACCCTCGTCATCACCTGGGAGATGCACAAGACAAATGTTCTAATGAGTGCATGCACTGCGTTAAGTATTGGCCAACACGAACTCCCCAGTTACTCATGCCAGCCAGGAAGGAAACACCTTCCTTCCCGACCATTCCCAGCCCTCCTTCCCACTGGCCAGCACCTGAACCCAGTGAACACAGGCATCAGTGGCCCAAGGTCCTGGCTTGGAGCCAGTGAGTAGACAGGCAAGCAGAGGGGACAAAGGTAGCTGGGTTATACATGAATATTCTCATTACAAAGAAGAAAATAAAAGACTTAATTAAGCCTAGACTTTTTCCCCAGTTTTGGATTGGAGGTTCAGTGCTTGTAGCCAAGAAAGTGTTTGTCCTTGAAATGCCAACAAATTCATTTCCAGGCATTGGCGCTTTGCACCTCTTCTGCAGATAGCCTCAGTTTGCAGATGGGTGTGCTGGCAGCAGCCAAGTACATCTCCTATTCCATCAACAAATGATTTGTGGTAAGGGAATACTGTTGGCCCTCCAGAACAAGGTGAAATGAAGGGATACTGCTTCCGATAGAAAATAAGTTGTGCTCAAAAGCCATGGGCCCCTGACTTCCAGCCTCTGAGAGCTGGTCCCTAGAACACACATGTCCTTGAGGCTTCTTTCTTTCTTTCTTTCTTTCTTTCTTTCTTTCTTTCTTTCTTTCTTTCTTTTCTTTCTTTTTTTTTTATGGAGTCTTGCTCTGTCACCCAGGCTGCAATACAGTAGCACGATCTCGGCTCACTGCAAACTCCACCTCCTGGGTTCACCCCATTCCCCTGCCTCAGCCTCCCAAGTAACTGGGACCATAGGCGCCCACCACCACACCTGGCTAATTTTTTGTATTTTCAGTAGAGATGGGTTTTCACCATGTTAGCCAGGATGGTCTTAATCTCCTGACCTTGTGATCTGCCCGCCTCAGCCTCCCAAAGTGCTGGAATTACAGGCATAAGCCACCATGCCCTTGAGGTTTTCTAAGACCTCTCACTCTGTATTTAACACTTGGGCCACTCTGGGCTCCATTCCTCACACCTCAAGGACAAGTCTTCCTGTTTTTAAATCCCTGAACCCTCTCTTTGGTTAGGAGCTAGGTTCCTGTGGCTTTTCCAGGCTTAATGTTTCTCTAAGCTCTTTATCGTTTTTGCCTGTCGCAGCCTTTGTCTAGCACCTCGGCCGGGAAGTGCTAGTGGGACTTATTTTGACAGGTCTGGAGTTTGGTACTTATGAGCATAATCCAAGTGAAATATGACTAAATGTTTTCTAGTCAATTTCTCCTATCAGATTTTTCCACAAGTGGAAGTGAAATAATTTCATTTGATCATATATACATCCCACCCACGGCTCTGGGATGCACGTGAGCACCTTATTTTAGCTTCACATATATTCTTGACATTAAAATCTCCTTGGCAAAATCCTCCTTCCCAGAATTATTCAGAGCTTAAATCGGTTTTTTTTTTTTTTTTTTTTTTTTGGCATACTGCTAGTGGAGTCATTAAATTGTTCAGTATATTTTAATAGCACTCCATTCCTCATTATGGTGTCAACTCCAAGTCTGAGTCTTTAAGGTCATATGGGCTTTTTTTTTTTTTTTTTTCCATAAACTCTCTTTTCAATTCGATCTGACCTTAAGGAAAGTACCTCTTTAGGAGGAAGTCAGACTCCTCACTCACTATCTCTCTGAGATTTGTTCTCTGAATTTGAGGAGCCTGAATAGTTTTATTTCTACACAACAGTTTTGAAGGCTGTCTCCCTCTCTGTCCAATCAGCTAAACTTGAGCAACCGTGGAAGCTTTGAGCAGCTGAGAAATGCTTTTCAACATTTCACTTTAAATCAGGATGTGCCACAGAAGACCCACGGAACTGTTGCTAAAATAGCTGCCTGCACAGCAGCCAATTAACAGAGCAAAATCTGGCAGATGTCCTACATGGCAAAACAGGAGGACCAGGTTCTCTTGACAGAAGCTTTCAATCTTTGTCAAGTCTGGTCTGCAAAATACATTACATGCCTACCTCATCCATTGGTAAGGTCTCAAAGTGAAGGAGAGAGTGGAGTGAGGGGCGTTGTGATCTGTAGAAACTGTGAACATGATTTTGTAGTTGTTGTGATGCTGTCTCTCTCATTTCCTGAGAAGACTGGAGATCAGTAAGATAAGCGTACAGGTTGCTGCAGGATAATCTACCATTTAAATGAAACTTGCTTTATATTGGTATGGATTCTGGAATTGTCATTTCCAGATGTATTTGCTGAGCTTGGGGAAACATGATGTAACTGGTAACTGGCCGGGTGCGGTGGCTCACGCGTGTAATCCCAGCACTTTGGGAGGCTGTGGTAGGCAAATTACGAGGTCAGGAGATGGAGACCGTCTTGGCTAACACAGGGTGAAACCCTGTCTCTATTAAAAATACAAAAAAAAAAATTAGCCAGGCATGGTGGCGGGTGCCTGTAGTCCCAGCTACTTGGGAGGCTGAGGCAGGAGAATGGCGTGAACCCAGGAGGCAGAGCTTGCAGTGAGCCCAGATCATGCCACTGCACTCCAACCTGGGTGACAGAACGAGACTCCATCAAAAAAAAGAAAGAAAAAGGAAAAAGAAGGAAAGTACTGGTAATTAATAGTCTTGTGACCTTGAACAAATCATTTCACACCTCTGGGCATCAACGGTCTCATCTGCAAGATGGGGACAAAATCAGGCTGGAGCAGAGGATCTTGGTGGTTCTTCCCAGACACAGGCTCTGAGATTGTGTCCAGACAGTGAGAGCTTCTAGAATTCTTTCCCCAGGGGACCAATGACTCAGTGACTTAATGCTGAGTCATTTGCCCTTTAGAGGTGTGACTTCCCTATCTATCACTATGAATGCAGAGAAATATCATTTCCCAACTGAGAAATGCAGTTTGAGCTCTTGGAGAAAATTAGAAGCTTAGTGCTGTGACGTTACTGTTTGTAGCCTTTGATGCCCATGTGGAATCAGAGAAGCCAGCAGGATGATACCTAAAATAAAGGTGCTTACTTCCTGCACCAAGATGTGGAAAAGTCTATGGTTACATTATTGCATGGCATCAGGGACAGGAGAAAATTTAGGAGAGCCGGAGTAGGTGTGCTTACTATATTCAGCCATACTATAGAAAATAAGTGTCTCCACTTTACTGAACTGAATTAAACATGAATGGTAAAAACTTCTCTACTTGCAGGGTGCATGTGGAACATAATTTAGTTGAAGTTTATTTTCACTAAGGAACATCTCCCACCTTTTTCCCCAGAAAATGATAACACCTTTTTAATGACTTTCATTTGTGGATAATCAGGAGAAAAAAAAGTGTCCCTTTTAAATGAGCCCAACACACAGCTTAAACTTCCTAGCTTCATTTAGAAAATTCTGTATACTCATATATAGAAATGACCTTGCCTCTTCCAACTGCATTCACAGTGTCAGTCAGAAAAGGCCACAAGCCTGAGTCTGAGAGAAAAAAGGAAAACAAAAATGTCTTTAGCAGGAAATAAAGTGACTCTGCTCTTCTAGAATTATCTTAGGTGAGCTACAGACCTGCTGGCAACTCCAATTTTTTCATCATCATTTGAACATACCTCATCTTATATGCAGATCGACTAGTGTTCCCTGAAGCTTTCCAATTGCATTTAATTGAAGGGAGACCGTTGTAACTGTTTAGGTGCCAATCTCTGTGTTTTTGGAAACATGAAAAACTCATGCCTCATTTCTCTGCAATTGCATTTTAAGAATACATCATCCGCAACAGGCTGGTCCAGTTAACATTTTAAAAGTGCAATTCCAGGCTTACAGAATGTTCAAGTGGATAGAGTCTTGTATCATCCAGTCTAATGGTTTTCAGATTGCTCAGAGACTCCAAATCTGTTCCAAGGAGGTGACTCAATATTAATATTTTTACAGAGCTGGGCATGGTGGCTCACGCCTGTAATCCCAGCACTTGGGAGGCCGAGGAGGGCGGATCACCTAAGGTCAGGAGTTCGAGATCAGCCTGGCCAACATGGTGAAACCCCATCTCTACTTAAAAAAAAAAACAAAAATTAGCTGGGTCTGGTGGCGGGCCGCCTATAATCTCAGCTACTTGGGAGGCTGAGGCAGGAGAATCACTTAAACCCAGGAGGAGGAGGTTGCAGTGAGCCAAGATCTCACCATTGCACTCTGGCCTGGGCAACCAGAGGGAAACTCTGCCTGAAAAAAAAAAAAAAAAAAAATTTCTTACACACAACAACAGCATAGCATAGAAATCAAGAGGCAACTAAACATAGTTAAATAGTTTCAAGTTCCTTAAATTATCTTGCATGCAAAATGTGGATTAAGATTAGTCATTGATGCGCCAAGAATGCATGTTACAATTTCAGGGTCATCACTAAAATAATAGAAATGCAAAAATAAATATCTTTCAGACTAAAGAAGAAGGAAAGCTGAGTGACAAGTTACTCAAATAATTTGAAAGAAAGCAAGAAAAGAGAGAAACAGGGACATAAAACAGCTGGGATAAACAGAAAACACATAGGAAGATGGTGGATTTTTTTTACCCAAACTTACTAGTAATTGTAAGTGCAAAGAGATTAAATGCCCCAGTTAATCATCAAAGACTGTCAGACTGATTTTTAAAAAACTAAATAACTGTCTGTTGTTTACAAAAGGCATGCCTAAAACACAGGGATACAGAAAGTTTGAAAATCAAAGAATGGATCCAGGTATTCCATGGAAACTGTAGCTAAAAGAAAGCTGGTAAGGCTATATTAATAAAGATTAAATGCACTTTAAGGCAAAAAAGAATTGGTAGAATTAAACAGGGACACTTCTTAACGATAAACATTTTAGTTTAATAAGATGAAGTAATAATTCTAAATTTCCATGCATTTAAAAACATGGCCTCAAAATATA